GTCCTCCAAAGATGATGCCCACACAATAGAGACCTTTACGACCACGACGCTTATTTCCTTGTTCCTTTTGATCATTTTCCTGAATGGGAGTTAGATCATTAATATACTATTTGAAATGTCCCTGCTTGATGAGGTCTTTAATTGCTTGCTTGAGAGCCCGACACTCCTCGGTGTGATGTCCATTATCCTGATGATAGTAGTAATATTTTTTGTTGTTCCTGGTTGAGAGGGGATTCTTCATGGGCTCTGGCTCTCCGAGCAGCCTGACCTCCTCTGACTTATCTAGAATGATCGACATTGAGGCATTCAAAGGAGTGTATTGGCTTTTGTCACGATCGCAATGGGAAACTTAGGCATAAGATTTTTTGGGCTCAAATCACTGCTTCTTTCCTTTCCACTGATCGTCATTAGCCCATCTGTGATCAGCCTTCTATTATTCTTCCCCTGGTTCGGAGCATTGGTCGAGGGACCAAGGTTGTAGCGATTAAGAGCTGCCATAAAATTTTTGATTCAGAGATACTTCTCAGTAAGGTCGTAGAAGCGGGTGAGGGAAACATCGTCCCCAGATTGCAATTCTTTTCACAAGTTAGTCTGTAAGCAAACCCATGCAATAATGAAGTCCGAACGAACTCTTCGGGAATTTGTCCATGTAAGACTGGAGGGATTTATTCCTCTCCTGCCGTATGTTGCTTAGATAGCTTAACGGCATCGAGAACTTCCTATTCGCCTGGAAGTGCCTTAGGAATGACAAGCTCATTTGTTGCCACAAGCTGATAAATCCTACAGGAAGTAATCTGAACCAGCGCTTGGCATGTGCAGTTAGAGTTACTGCCAAACAACGACATTTGGACAAGTCGTAGACTTGGTGGAGTTCCATGAGGTTGTTGAATTCGTAAAGGTGATCTTATGGATCAAAATTTCTATCGAACACTCGCATATTGGGCATTCTATATCTCGACGGGAGAGGAGCAGCTAACACTACTGGAGAGAAAGGAAACGCTTCAGCGACCTTCCCATGCTCATTATGTTGAGCTTTAAGTTGATCCAAATCTCGCTGTAATTCCTCAATCTGAGATAGTGGAGCTACCTGAGGATCACTTTCCGCAATGTGGGTTCGATCCTCATGGTTGCGGTTGAGGAAAGACCGCAAATTGGGCTCTTTCTCAACTTGGTCAGAAGCTCTGGCTAGTGCCGTGTCAAGGTATCGAATGGCTCGAGGAGTTTTCTTGACCTTCGTGATGGTCAAAACTGACCCGCGGACAACGAGGGGTTCCCGCATGATGATGGTCGAGATCATCATTTTGGTGATATTAGAAATCTCCATGCCTTGCACTTTTGTGGGGGTGCCCATATGACATGGCGTGGGACGACTTATGCTGCGACATATTGCCAAGTTGCAATGCCACGAGTATTCTACCCGTTGCATGACTGGTGTTCACTAGTCCCTCGGAGCCCTTAGGCCCACTGTCTGCCACTTGCTTTCCCTTACTTTTATGCATGCAGTGCGCGTAGTATGGGCTTTTTCCCTTTTTTGTGCTTTTGCGCGACCTGCTAGCATCTTTGGCAATGGCATCGCCTCGTTAGACTCTGGTGGTATGACCTGATCCAAACGGTCTAACCTTTGGCTAACTGTTTGGAGAGTATTGTTCAACCTCTCCAGGTAATCCATCACAACTGGGTCGAGTTATGAGCTCGAAGGAATATCTGCCATGGTACTCTACTGGACTGGAGGCGCTTCGAGAGAAATGTCATCCTGTACCCAAGGGATCTCCTCATTGTTGAGGTTGGTTCGCTCAGTTTCAAAGCCACGAGTCATTTGCTGATGGATAGGATCGATCGGTCAGAGATTCCTGATGAAGGGCGGATACTAAATCAGTGCCATCCTTCTAGCGCCAAACTGTTGATGCTTGATTTTGACACTAACGACTCGCACAAGTAAAGTGCTAAGCAGACTTAAGAAATTACACGTGATATGAAAATGTGCAACGAGAGAATAAACAAGAGACAATTTTTAAAGTGATTCGGATGCTAAAAAGCGAATCCTATGTCCACTGTATTTGTATTGATGGATGATTACAGTCAAGTCGCGGGTAGCGAGATGAGTTACAATCTAGAGAGAGAATTTAAATTCAGAGAGATAGTCTACTTTTGGAAGATTAAAAATGAACCGATCACATAAATGAGAGAGGAGCCCTCTATTTATAATCGAGGGATTCAAGATAATAATCATGATTCTGCAGTTGGGCAGGTGTGGTACAATTCCTAACATGCTTACCATTGATTGACCGTACAAGAGATATCCTTAAATTGTGTAGGGCTTGCGTAGGTGGACAATTCCTAGCCACGCTTTCACTTGCCACACTGACAACAGCCTTACCTCTTCTGTCCTTGCACGACGTGGCAATGTCTGGACGACACAAAGTCTTCCTGAACTCTAATTAGCCCTTGCTAGCGTAAGCTTACGTTAGCCCTGATTTTTTAGGCATAACAGTATGTATCATTAATTTGTATCGCGAGTAATGTTGAAATGTACCTCAAGTTAACTGCATATATATCTTGTTTATGGAGAGTTGCATGATTTTCACATCTGTTCTTGAGGAAACAATTAAATAGCTTGGTCAACTTTCTTTATGGAGAAAAGGAGATAAATATTAATATGTGAACCTAATCAAACCATCTGTGATGCGAGGAACCGACTTTGCATTCTGCCACTTATTTTTATTTTTTTTTACTTCTAGTTCTGGATTTGTCCATCGAGTTGACGTTCCTTCAAAAGATTGTTTGCGTGCCGCCGTACGTATATTCTCCTTATCATCTTTCAATCCATCAGGCATATCAATACACTATGTTATTAGTAATTAGATGTCACGTTTAAGTATCATAAATAGTATTAAGTGATTCATCAAGAAGAAAGATACAGATACAGATACAAATGACTCCATCGAACAAAAAACCTTTAATTAAGTGACCCTAGCCAGGTATATAACTGACCCTTGGCTCTATCGTGAGCCAGTTACGCAACCTGATTCCTCATATTCATTTATGCTTTTATAATGAGCTAGCTTTTCTGGGGTTTGAGATACGCGGCAATGTCTGGCACCTAAGATTTTAAATATTAAATGCCCTTTCTTTTTATGTTTACACTTATTAATTTGACGTTTCTTCATAACACGAATGAAAAAAATTAGATATCATAACTATGATACCAATTTGTTTCCGCCGACACGTAAGAAATTAGGAAAATTGATTGAGTTGATAGAAGAATATCTCAAAATCTCGGGAATATTTACTATTTATCCTTTACGAAGATGGAATTTTTTTTATCATCCATGCATTTTCACACATTAATTAAGAACTGATAGACATCACCTTCCTGATGTATGTATCATTCAAACCACATTAATTTGAATCGGTACAAGTCCCTTGGAGAGCTAACCAGACGTTTGATGTAATTCTTTTCTGGAATAAAGGCAATTAAGTCTATGGACTTCGCCTCTTGTCAAAGTTAGGAATGTATCCCTTCTCTTTATGGAAACAACGAGTAAAATCATGAATAGAAGTCTCTGGTATATATCAATTACTAGGAATCTCACATCCTAATTCGAGAGCGGTAGAAAATTAGGAAATAGTTAGTGGTAAAAGATGATAGGTCTTTGAATTCATGGACAAATCAAAACTCATCTATTTTCTTTGTATGTGGTGACTTAGATTAATTGATGCTTTCTGCAATTTTTTTTTTTTTTTTTAATGATCAAGGATATCTGGGTCAGATTACACGTACCTCAATTAATTCTCTAGAACTCTAGAATTATTGATCAGATAAGAGTTTCAATGGTTATTCTTGTTAGCAACTGAGAAGAAATTCAAACTTAAGACCTCTTGAATAACACACCCAAGAATCTCTATCGAACCATTTGGTCCTCAGAGGTAGTTTTTTCTTGCATTATATTACAAGCATGCATATAGCATATGAATTAATGGGCGCAAGAAAGGAATCCTAAAATGTGTACGTACGTTAAGAATCATAATCTAGCAATGAGCGTAGATAATATTTGATATTGATAAGTAGTGATGAAGTTAATTTGATTCAGTGCTGGTTTCGATACTAAAGTGCGATCTACATATAGGGATTTTGGGTAGAACTAGATATAGTTTCATTGCACTATAAAAGTGTTTGATAATTGTTACATACGGAGTGAAAGAGAATATTTATAATGGATGTTCAGGATTTGATTTGTTTGGGCAATTGGATATAAAGTGGTAGGTCTGATTCTGAAGGTATCTTCTTCTTGTACGGTCATCAGATGGTCTTTTATAACAATATCTTATCGGAGGCAGATATAAGATATTACCCTTTAACTTTATAAGAAGCATCTTTACTTTTACAAATTTCCCCTTTGTCAACTTTCCATCGGTTTTACTTTTCTATACTCAGAAAAATTGTTTCCCTATTGAACACTAATTAGGTGAGTTTATCAAATGTAAAGATGAAGATTAAAGAATATCAAAGTGGCCGCATGGAGCTCATCAAACGGCATTATCTTATTTGTTAGATCGATCTCAGTGATATATCCAAGTTCCACATGCAAGAGAATAGTTATTATTCAAGATTATGGCTGCCTTCTATTTGCTGCGCACCATCTAGATAACTAGTTTCTTTCCATTACCGGAAGGTCAGAAAGTAATAATAGTCACTCGGGGATGTGTGGAATTTCCTGGAAGTCCCATTCTTCATATGTCAGTAAATATACCTTATATTGTACATTCGTACTGCTCTGCAACTTGTCGTTGAATTTGCAGATTCGACAGAAAAGAGCTTATCATAATCTCTAACGTTTTATTCCTTTCGTGTACTGATTCTATCTGGGAAAAGAATTTGCATGACAAAAATATGTAAATTAATCCAGTTCACCACACCGACAGTCAAGTTGACTTATGAATCATTATAAATAGGAGTTCAAGTTGCTCACAGCAAACCCCTTTCAACTCTCTCAGTTAAGTTGAGTTACACACACTCGAATCAATTTGCAGCCTAATATTTTTGTTTAGTAGTAAAGTTAGCCATGGAAATGGTCACAACGTTGGTTAATGAAAGGCCAGTGGTGATTTTCAGCAAGAGTTCTTGTTGCATGAGCTTCACCATTAAGACACTAATATGCAGCTTTGGTGCAAACCCAACTGTTTACGAGCTTGATCAAATGTCAAATGGACAGCATATCGAAAGGGCATTGCTGCAACTAGGATGTCAACCAAGTGTACCAGCTGTATTCATAGGCCAAAAACTCGTCGGTGGTGCTAATCAGATCATGTCCCTCAACCTCCAGAACGAGCTAGGCCCTCAGCTCGTAAGAGCTGGAGCTATTTGGATTTGGAAGAAAAAATAACTTCCTATATCCAACTCAGATACTACTATAGATGTACGTAGGTTTGCTCATTACTATTTTGTTCTTCCTCCAGTTCTTGTTGTCGGTATCAGTACTATATATAAAATGAAGTATTTGCACGTACGGTTTAGATGCTTCTTTGCGAACCTCTTTAGCACTTCCTTTTGTGGCTGAGAAAAATCACTGTATTTTCCTTTTTCTGAGTTCCTGAAGAACTTATTATAATATGCTGTAACTTATATTAATGTAATATACCTTTGCTAAATAAAAAAAAGGAAGAGTTATGTGTACTTGTAAATTGCAATATGTTGAATAATGGATCTAACATTTATTCAGCATCACATAATATATAGTGCCTAAAGAACGTGCATACAAATTAAGATCATGAACAGAAACTGAAGATTTTAAAAAATTAATTTTGATAAAGTAGCATAGTGTATCACCAGAGGCTGAACTAGAAAGTCACGATCAACATCATATCTGCAAGAGATGACCGTGTGTTAAACACTTGAATTCAATTAAAAAAATAATTATCATAATTATCAACTAATTTATTTGTCTTGCAATAACATATTCTTATATGACGAAATGAAAATAACAAGAACTAATTTGAGCTCTATTCAAGCTCCTTATCTTGAGCATTTCTGATGGTAAAGAGGATTAGAATGCATAGTCACCAGTCACCTTAAACCATTCTCTCAGACATATAACTTCTAATTGAAAGTCAATTAAATGTTTTCAAATAAAACCACTCAGCAGCATCCACTTGAGTTGCCAAAGAGATTAGATACTTCAAAAATTTATTAAAAACTATGGCAATATCGTTAAATGCCAATCTATTCGTTACGATTCTGTCAATCAGAAATTTTGTATAGATAACTGATTCGACTCTCTCAATTGACAAACTGCAATTAACATAGGTCGTCACAACGATAGAATATTGAACCACGTGATCAAGCTAAGGTGATAACTAACAGTTTTAGAGACAAAAATAAAATCCGCTATAAGAATATAGATAAACTCAACTTGTCTTTCAGACCACGATCAATCTTGATAAGAGATTTGGAGAATAATTTAGATCCAACAATTAGATTGGCATTTGCCATTAGTTGTATGTCAATATACATATGCTTCATGCTTTTCTTTTCTGTGCAGGAGAATTTTCTCTATCTTGGTTCTATAAAGGCTTTCAAAGAAAGATGCGTCATGTTTTCAATTTTTCTGTGCTCAACTTCAATCAATGAATCATTATTGGAAGAATTTTACAGGTAGAAAAGCATGCATTACAGAGATGAAAAACTCATGATAATCCAATGTTATCAAACTACTAAACAATCTTAAAAAATCTTAGGAAGAGGTAAAAAAAAAAAAACGTGTGGAAAGTGTTTGATCAAGAACACCCACCCATCATCCATCAGTAAAAGTATAGTTTGCGGCAACAAAAAGATATTCATGAAGTGAAGGACTAACCTCAGAGTCTGTATTATTATCAAAATTGAAAATAAAATCATGCACGCCAATATTTGAATGTCTTACAATATATATATTTACTGATGTGAGCACATTGTGTCATCTCCAATACTAAATAAAAGTAACCCAGTAAACATTTATTTTAAAGTTGATAGAAATGACATTCTAAAACTTCGAAGCACTCACAATTGAGCTCAGAAATTCTACAAAATTTGACTTATACAATCATTCATTCTATATACTGCAACCCGTCCTCACTTGTGAATAAAATCCTTTATAACTACGTTTCCCTGATCTAGGTTTGCATTTCTTCGCCAATTCTCAACTGCTCTGTTAACTGTAGCATTTGCGTGTCGTATCTCCTCAGCAGAGAACTTGTGCTCTATAATTCCCAAGGGTCCAGACTGCAGAACTTTAACCACGGTTTCCATTTCAGCCTCAAGCTGCCTATAAGATAAGAAAACGAAACAGCAGGTAACATAGGTTAATAGAAGAAACAAAAAGGCATGAGGCTCTCATAAGAATATAAACTTACAAACATATAACAGGAAGAACATAAAGTTCACCATCAAACATCCCACTTAAAAAAGGATTCAATCATCCATAATAAACAATTTTCTATGATCATTAAACAGAATAGAAGCCACAACAACAATTGATAACTAACATTTGAAACAGGGTACTCATGTAAGCTTAAACTCAGTGCTGATTTACATTTTCTGGAATGGAACTTCCAAATAATGAATTCCCACTTTCAAATTCCAAGAAAACTCAACAGTCCTTTAAACTTTATAAACAACCAAAAACGCACCCTTCCTTTCAACTTTACAATATGGAAGAGACAGTTAATCCCATCTCTCCAGACACTGACAATTCGAGACACACAAAAGTGATAAAATTCCATCTGTTTAAGAAAGAAATAAGTTTCTGCAATCACATAAATGATAATTTTTTTTACAAAAATTGAAAGCTCATAATCTCATTAACATTAAAACTAGTGTCAAACCACCTAAATAGGATACTGTTAATCGATTAGGGAAGGATTTGAGCGAGAACAAATAATAAATCTCGTATTTGAGCAACTATTAAATTCGTCATCACAATAACAAAATCAGATTCCAATCAGCCTTGATCAACATTGCAAATAATAAGAGAATTGAAAAACAATTATGGTACGAATTCCGATAATATAAAATTAAAGCACAAAACCCTAATAAAAAGAATGTAATGTATATAAGCAAAAGATAAAACCTGAAGAGCTTTGAAAACGGAAAGGCGTTGCCTAGCCGAGATAAAGATGTGGGCATATCTCTCTGCTATTTACACACCTTTTCTCAGTGTGATAGGAGAAAAATACTTCCCAGTTGACACACGGAAAGCTCGGACCTTCGACTGTTTTACATTTAGCGATTTACAATCAAAACGGTGTCGTTTCGTACGTGTCCCTATTCCTACACAGCGACTTTCAAATCAGGGGAGTAAAACGCCATCGTTCCCGTTATTTAGGTATTCCAATTCCCAGGGAGCGACTCTCAATTAGAACGCCATCGTTTAACGTATTATGAAGAGTAAACGACTTTTTCCCACCCGAATAATAGCTTAATGACACATTTCCACCCATAAACTTTTAAAATATCACTTTACTACTTAAATTTATATTCCGACAACGAACAAAGAGCAAACTTGATCCAAGTTGTTGGGATTTTTAAAAAAGGGAGGCCGATGAGTCTTTTGGTAGTGAAATGTTGGATTTTGGTTATTAAGATTAATTGGAATTTGACCTGGGAGAGGCGACTGTGTAAACCTTAATAGCTCGATTGCCGACAATTGGCGGGATCGACGGGAATAGAGTTTAAGGGGTTTTGGTGAGTGATGATCAGGGAAGAGAATGGTAATGGTGTATGGTCGCAACAATGTTGGAACTAGAAACGAAATATGAATTTAGATAGTAAAGTTGTATTTTAAAAATCCTTGGGTGAAAAGTGTCATTAAGCAATTATTTGGATGAGAAAAAATTGTTAACTCTATTTTAAAAAATAAAACGGTATTGTTCAACCATTTTGAAAAATAAAACGAACATAGATCGACACCATTTCAATCTATTTTAAAAAAATTAAATTAAAATGGCTACATAATGTCATCGTTTAACCTATTTTAAAAAATAAAAAGACATCGTTCAAACAATTTTGAAAAATAAAATCAGCAACAGAGCAACACCGTTTCAACCTATTTAAAAAAAAAAAAAAAAAAAAAATCATACAACCTAGGGGTGGAAAAAAAAATCCAAAAACCAAACTGGACCGAAAATTCAATTTTTTTTTTCAGATTCGATTTGGGATAATGGGTAAACCAAATATTCAGTTCGGTTTAGGTTTTTTTTTTTTTTAAAAATGGTTAACCCGAACCGGATTGCTAAACCGGTTTTAAAAAATATATATAATTTTTTATTTTTCAATTTTAAACAAAGTAACAAACTAAACCTTAAGTCTAACCTATTCCCAAACCACTGAACCACACCTCTGTCTCAAACCTCTATCTTTTGCACTGGCCATTTCACTCATCACTGCCAGTTGCCGCCTGTCGTCTTTCCAATCACCGTCGACCTTGAATCTTCCGTGAATCTTCACTTGACAACACACAACAGCAGCTGCAGCACTTCAACAAGTCTCCTCCAGTCCCGATTTATTCTCATTTCTCTAGCAAACCGTTGTGTTTTTTGCGCCGACAATAGCTACCATCTTTCCAGCCATCATCGATCGTCATCGCTCGCCCTCCGTTCACTGCCAGCGCCGACGACAACACTACAACAGGTTGTTCCCTTCGGTTCTTCACTTGCCGACTGGGTTTTTTTAATTTTTTTGTTTTTGTATAAAATGATGATTGATGAATCCGGCTAGGTTTTGTATGCAATGATGATTGATTCAATTTCTATCCCTTTGTTTTGTTTTTTGCTTGGATTTCTTCTATGATCTTGCTAATGGGTTGGTAAATTGTAACCTGCTATGTAAATGTATTTGCTGATGGGTTGGTAAATGTATTTGGGGGTAGAGTGTCTTTGATTAGAAAGCAGTTTAGGGCTGATGAAGTATACAAAACCACATGAGAATGGGCAGATTTAGAAATCAAATAAATCTGTTTTATTTTGTTTATCTCTTCTCTGCAACAATGTCTGTTTAAATAAACCGGTTAACCGAACCGATTTTTCGGTTTGGTTACAAACCGGCTTAAGTGAAAAAGCAATACGGTTTCGGTTCGATTTTTCACCTAAACCGAAATCCAATTCGGTTCAAATTTAGGATAAACCGGTTCGATCACCCCTAAATTACAACCATTTTAAACCTATTTTAAAAAATAAAACGGCATTATTCAACGATTTTAAAAAATTAAAATGGCTACAGAACACGTGTTTAACCTATTTTAAAAAATAAAATGGCATCGTTCAACCATTTTAAAAAATAAAAACGGCCTATTTTAAAAAATAAAACAGCATCATTCAACTATTTTAAAACAGCATCGTTCAACCATTTTTAAAAAATAAAAACGGCGATAGAACGGCCCGTTTCAACCGTATTTTAAAAAAATTAAAATCAAAACGACGACACACCGCCCATTTCAACTTATTTTAAAAAATAAAAAATAAAAATGGCTACAGCACTTTACCGTCTCAAAAAGTATGAACAACTCCATTGGGGATCAAAGCCAGAATCTCTGTTTCCGTAGACCAACGCCTTATCCATTGGGTCATGGAGTCCAATTATCTCTAATATTTTTTAAATCAAAATTTAGATAAGTTTTAGAATTTTCATGAAGTTTTTATCATAGGTTCTTATCTGTAACCGCGAAAGCGTGTCTGAAATTATTAATGTTAAATCTAAGGATGAAATTTTTTAACTTTAAAAACTACTGGGAAAAGTATAATTATGCCAAACCTAAAAGGAATTTGTAATAGCAGGACAAAGAAAACCTGCATATAAGCGAGTGTGAGTTAGGCGGAATAGAGCACACAGTGAGACATGCAGGATGCTACCCAGCTGAGATGAAACCAAGCTCTTCATCTTCAGCATAGCATATTACGACAAGCATCGTTACAAAAATCTATTTTGATCGAAATCTCTCTACTTTGGATCCATGTGCCACCTCGGTCTGTGATGAAATATTAGTACAAGTAAATTAGAATATGTGAATATTTTTCCTTATTTTTTATAATTGGAGTTGGAGATTCGTTCAACATACAAAAGTAGATGATATGAAGAGAGAGGTATGAAAGATTGTTAAACTATACTTCCAACTTTCTAATACTTGTCACACTTACGACCAGACATAAACATACAAGTTTGATTCAGTACTGCCTTCCTCAAGACTAGTTCAAAATGTCAAATGCAATGATGATCTCACAGAACAGGGCAACCCAGAATCAACACTCAAAAAACTAATGCAATCACACTAGATATAATACTATACACTCTTTTACTTATTCACACTATTACACAGTTATGACACAGAGTGGCGCCATCGCTTCTGAAACAAGAATCGATTTTCTGAATTTGCCTTTCCTCCTATTGGCTTCATACCATTGATCTTGAATAGGGCATTCAGCTTGCCTAATTTTTTGGTCAAGGATTTGAATAGCTTATTTGCAGGATGGGATCGTACTAGCTCTTGTTTCATTGACACATGGTCCTTTTCTAGGTCGGTTAGCCTCATTCTCATTCTTGCAACTTCAAGCTTTAGTTCTCGGTTCTCTCTTCTCACTGATGCATAATTATCTCTTGGAGAAATGGCTCCACTTCCTGCTCCACTGCTTGAACGTTGAGGGAATTGACTGTTTATTGAACCAAAGAAGAACTGATTGTGCCCTCCACTCATTGCATTTCGAAGCCTGATTTGTTCAAAGTATAGCACTTGAACTGCCATTTGCACTGGTAACCTTTCATTTTGTGCTGCATGACTGCAGGCTTCTTGTGATAGTTTCTGACAGTCTATTGTTTTGCAGAGTCGGTAGCGTTCAGAGTCCTTAATATTTGGATGAACCTGCATATAGAAACAGATAGGTTTTCAGAACTGGTCTCCAGAGAAATTAAATTCAAGGATGAATTAGTTTTGCTAAGCAACTGCCACATATGTAAACAAAAGAAAACAAAACAGAGAGAAAAATTCTCACTTTGAGGAAGATATCCACTGCTCTGTATAATCCATCGCTTACTATTCGAGCATGATCTGGAAGTAGTTCCGCTAATGCTATGAACTTTGATGGCATCAAGTTGGAGTCTAGTGCAACTTCTGCAAGATAATTGTCCAATAACTTGGACACCTTGAGAATTGAACTTTGTTTAGGAGATCCAGGGCTGTCGAAATCATAAACCATTTCACTTTCATCTCTCATATGATTATCTTCATCGTCATCTTCATCCAACTTCAAAAAATTGGAGAAGATCCTCAAGATGGAATCTGTATCATAAATAGTGCTGTGGTTGTTTCCGTGTGAATTGGCTGGGATAAGGATGTCTTCAAGAATTGCCTGATCCAGTTGAAGACCAATACGCCTCTCTAAATCGGATCTGCAAGAAGTAGTTGCCGATGCTGTTATTGCTGTTTTCAACAAACTTGAAAGAAATGCCATTGGAACTGGACTCTTCCTTGATTGAGTTGGTAGTAAGCCAACTATTGCTTCAACAATGACCCTTTGTTCCTTCTGCAACTCCAAATCCAACAGACTTCCTTTGACTAGATGAGGATCCCTGACAAGACCCTGAACAGAATTATGAGCATAGTTTATTAAAATTTTGCTGATCATATCCTGTTTTAGACCTTTTGACTTTACGGCAGATAGAACCCGTTGGAAGAAATCCAGATTAAGCACTGCAAGAGACTTTCCCCACCAATCAGCTGGTGTTTCTGGTTCAGTGTTTGGGGCATGTTTTGAAGGGAAGTTATGGTCAAGCTTTAACAAGCCGGAGGTGAGCTGCTCTTTACACGCATTATTTGCAATTGCGTTAATGAGCCTGTTAACAAGGTTAATCTCTTCCGATACGGGCAAGAGGCTTTCACAAGAGTGAAGAATGGATATTGAGTTTGATATGTTAGAGAACACCATCTCCTTTAGATAAGCTTCGGCTCGAGTCTCCAAGTTTTTCTCCGCAAAATCTTCTGTCATTTCCAGGAAATGGGCTGCACAACGTAGCATTGCAACATTTGACAATGTAATGTCAACATTTACTCCATAGCAGAACTTTGCAGCAAGCTCAAATGCCTCTGGTCCACCGGGAACAGCTGACAGATTAACGCGTGAAATTTTTGAATCTTTTGCTTCCAACAACAATTTACGGATCCTTCCACTTCGAGAAACTAGAGGGAACTGCAAGAGAATTGAAACAATATGACTAGAGCTTCAAGTGAGGTTCTCTTTTCCTTGAATTCTTTTGTCTTTTATCTTCAGTTTTTTCTCATTCCTTTTAAGTATTAGCATTTAACTTTTCATTGACAGAAATAGATTTATTCTACACAAAATACTCTGCAAGAACTTTAACAGGAAATATAACTTTTCTCTTCCTAACCTCTTGCACAACTATATGGAACTGCCCTGTTCACAGTTGTATAATGTGTACACGAATTAGATAAATCTATATAAACAAATCAGTATTAAGTTTGCAGTTCCCTCAAAAGGGTTCCAACAATAATAAAATCAAAATAATCCGATTGATAAAGAATTCTAAAACTTTTACATATTGATTTGGACATGCTGAGTTAATATATATAGTTATTGCCACTTGATAAAAAAACAACAACAAAGAGTACAGTAAGCAAAATTCATAGAAAAAAAGCACTACAATTGCTTAAGCCAGATTGTTTGTACCTTGTGAAGTGCAAAGCTTGATGCTCCAACTTCAATAGTAAGGTCACTAGAGACATCAGAAATCGGCCTGCAAGATATACAGTAGAGTAGTTGAAGATGTATTTCTTCACATAGAGACAAGAAAACTTTATGAACGAAACAAATAAATAAACACAACGCAGGGATACATTTTTGTAAGTGCCAATAATTTAGAAACCATGTAGGGGCTTCTGCTAAAGGCCTGCAATCTCATGTTTGAACTCATGATCTCTAGACAAAGAATTCTGTCAAGAGTGTTATCTTTTTATATACAGTTAACATCTTAAAACCTATGGTCACTATAATCCTTCTTGATTCCTGTTTCGACACATATGGCCCACACTTAAAAAATGACAGCTCAGTTATTAAACCATGCTTGACTAGACTTCCAGCAATAGTTCAGGGAATAAGGTAATATTTGTTGACGATAAAAATTGAAAGAGAACAATCCCAGAACTAGTTGTGCCTGGGAAGCGGAAACAATATGGCCATTTTACTGAACTGCATAGAAAAGATCAGAACCACATGGGTCCCTTTACATTTACTAGATAGCTGTGAATATTGTTGCCTTATGTATATCAAGTCAAATGTAATGAAATGACATCTAAATCCTCCGTGCGCATTTGAGGGCCTGTCGATAGTAAAAGCATGCAAGTTAACAGTGCAGGATTGTAATATATTAACCCAGCAGCCTCGTGATACTGTCATTTGGTTGGAGAGCTTTCAAGGTCAAGATCACAGGTTTGATCTCTATCAGATTCCTTGCATAAAGTGTACACTGAATTGTTGCTTTCTCGTATTACCATACGAAAATCTATCTACCAATGTTACAATATATTTAAATCAAGCGTAAAAAAGTAAAAAATCACTAGCCTGATTGACCCTGCTGCAATGAAATATAAATCCTATTCATTTTTTTAGAATTGCTTTAGGATTGTGTAAATTCAGAATTGAAGTCAAAGTCATTAGTACATATTTCTCTCTGAAAAGAACTCTGTACGTAATTGATGGCTAAACTTGTAGAAGTAACTTCTACAAAATTGATCACAAGAGGAAATAGATCGAAATTTCAATTTCACTTCAAAGTTTTAGAAAGCCGAAATTTCAATTTCACTTCAAAGTTTTAGAAAGCAAAAGAGTATGTATAGCGGTTTTAGTACTGGCACAATACTGCCAGTGATTACAATAGACTTATCAACCAAACAACGCTGCAAGATTTCATACTTAATATTCTACGCTAGAACACAGTACCCGCTTTCACAATCAAGTTATAAAGAGATATGAAAATGCAGAATTAATGAGAATACCTACCACCTGTTTAATTGCAATGGAAAGTAAGTAGAAACTGTAGTATATAGATATTAGTAGACATCAATGGCAGTATGCCAATTCATGGTTATTATTAACAATAGCAAAAGTAGTAATAGACAATGCTAAGAAAGAAACTATTTACCATTCAGTGGCATGCCTTATACTGGAGCTTGGACGAAAAGATCTCTTCCCTGATATACTTGGCTTCAATTCACCAACAGTGACAACACCCATCTCCTCTTCAAAAATCTGGCAGTTCAGCCTTAGTTTTCAGTCTGAAACTTGTGTTTTCCACACCAACCCCACTAACAAGTGTCTCTCTCGCAAGAATCTAACTGTTTTAACAACCCATCTCTTGTCAGTTACGAAGCAGAAGCGAGTTTATTATTCTTGTGGTGACAGGTTGTTTAAGGACGCCTTTCTGCCTTTGTTTTTTCTCCCTATAGCTATGTAGAAAGAGAAAGGTGGAGTGAGGTGAAAGTCACATGAACCCATGCAGAGGATTAAGGAGTAGTGATGAGTTTGAAATAACCTTTAATGAGTGTTTATAATTTGCCTAATCTAAAGTCAAGAATGTTGCAGGTGTGCTTACACTTTTCGGTGAAAGGTAGTGAGAATGGCCTTTTTACATAGTTTTTGTTTTGAAAAATTGCAGGAATTCTGAAGGGTTGCAATGCTTTTAGGGTTTGTAATCATGCCTAGTGAAAGCTACCCACATAAAGATTAGTATAAATTAACACTATATTATGTGTAAAGCCCACTAAAGTGGAAACTAAGATGATGAGTTGGATGACATGTTATAATGAGAACCACAGTGAACCAACTAAACCTACTTTAATGTGGGGGCAAATGTAGCTTTTATGTCAGCTTAAGAGGCATGTTTGTGTAACAATAACAATAATCTTGGCTTTAGGGGCTGCACATTTCTGTGCCATAAATACTAAGAATGTCAAAAAGGCAATTCCTCCAGCCAACACCAACTATAAATACTGTATACTCTCATATATGACTAATTTTTGGCACAGCCAGAAACAAAGGCTTGATATTGATATAATTGAGATTAGTTCATATTACATCGCCCACATATACCTACGCATTTATTCCTTTTATCATCCCAATAAATAAATGTGATCCTAAAGAGGTGACTGTAGGATTAATCATGACAAAGATTGCATCGATCAGGTGGTAATGATGGTCCCATCAAATTGGTGTTTTTGTGTTGCCATTTACTTATTGGTAGGTGGCCTTTAACCTTTTATTTAACAAGAAAAATCTGATGTTCAACTGGTTTAGATCATTCATCGTATTTATCCTTCACTTTCTTTCAAGGGAAAAAAATATTGTCACTGGATCGAGATGACTTGTACTTAATATTTTATCTTTTGCCTTTACGCTGTCTTCTGTTTGTTTCCCCATCTCTGGCAATCTGCTTCCATTTTCTGGCTCCTTTGGAACAGGACATGAAAATTCACTGTTTGAAGTATAACATTAAATTCTACCAGAAGTTTAAAATATATGTATATATTTTATTTCTGTGTCTTGCAGAGGCAAATAATAAGACTGCCAATTGAAGAATTAATAATGAGAGTCAAGAAAGGTAGCATAATGTTTGAGTGGGCAGTGGAGATACCTTTTATAGCGTAGACCCAGAACTGAGGTGGGTGAATGAGTTATAAACATGGAATCTTACTTTGAAGTTTTAATTTTTGTTTGTGTGGGTTCAAACTCTTTGGGGAAGGCTTGATTTTCCTGTATAATCCTTGAATTTGGAGAAAACTAAAGGGAAACAAAAGCTAAAAGCCAAACGGATTTTTTCTTTTTTTAATATTATTCCTTCTGTTAGTACACATGAAGGTGAAAGCAGTATGAATGATTAATGGAGGTGGTGAGCAAAACAGAAGGTTGTGTTGTGGCCACAATCATAGTTATACACACAACATCTGAGCCCACCATACTAATGCATATGACCCATCATATTATATGCTGCACTACTACTTCATCGCATGTGTAATCTTAATTGATCGTGTGGGTGGCTTCTTAATTATGTTACTGTTATGTCTAAAAAATCAGGACTTACGTAAACTTACATCAACAAGCATCAATCAGAGTTCAGGAAGACTTTCCACCGTCACGTCGCCCCAAGACAGAAAGGATACTGCTGTCATCAACTCAACAGGTTCAGGTTTTGTTTATAAGTGAATGGGGATCGCACACCTGTCCAAGCTCCAAATAATTTGAGGATATTTCCTAAATTGTCAGTCAATAGGAGGCAAGGAATGACTTACACGACACCTATCCACTTGCAGACTTGTAATCATTACCTTGAATTCAGCTATTATAAATAGAAGATTCCCCCTCTCATTTTGAGGATCTTTTACTTTCATAACAATTAATAACAAAGACAACCTACAAGAAAGAGACTGACTTAATATTTTATCTGAATACTCAGTCATTGTACCTTTACTCGCTATTCGTTACACACGACTTCTTGTAACACTCACTTACATAAAAGAAACAGTAGATGTAGGGAACGTTTTAAGCATCCAAACCTCTATAAAAATCATCTGTCTTATTTATTATTTAGTCGTTGCATTCAATAGCTTTGTAACCTTGTCCTAACTTCAAAATCAATTAATCACGTGTAATTTTTAAGGTATGTTTAACACTTTACACGTGCAAGGTTATTGGTGTCAAAATCAAGCATCAACGGTAACTATCATCAATTTTAAATAGCTTAAGTTCCCCTATAAACACCAAATCATCACCACTGCATCTTGTGATCAAAATAAATTGGGTTTTTTTTTGGGGGGAATTCTGATTACGACAAGTTTTACTGTTTTTCAAAGGTAGTAACCCTAGTTAACCGCATGAAATTGAGGATGTTGGGCCTAAATGTATCCGAGCAAGGCCAAATTTAGGTGGGTCCTTGGACTTTGTGCTTCACATCCATATCAGGGTCATGGGCCATTCTCCTACATGGGGTGCCGTGTCCAATCAACCATTAAGCTGTTCCCTCTTCCAAGTACTCGGAATCAAAGCTTTTAAATTTTGACAGAAAGAGGTTTAAGTTAAATGAATGAATGTAGAACCAATTCTCTTTTCTTTTTTACTTATTTGTAGCAAGCTATGGGCAACTGGAAGTGAAAAGTAATAATAATGCTTTTGGCCCAAGTGAAGATGGTTAATGAGAAAAGTAGCTTTTTTATCTCACCGACAATACAAATCACTTTGATTCCATTGTCCTATTCCCATAAGACAAAAAAGGCCGCATGCGCATCTACTAATTCAAATGTTTTGAATTGGGGACGTTTTTTAAGATTAGGATTAGGATAATTTTATTTAATTTTCTAGGACTTGATAAAAAAAATAAAATAAAGGTAAAGCGAGTTGAAACATTTTATTGTGTATTTGTGTGCACTTTTTATCAAACTAAAATAAAGCTAAAAGCTTCTCGTTTCTTTAAAAAGGAGCTATCTTCGGAATATAACATATTTATATCAACTTTGTGTAATATGTTCAGCAGCAGAGAAATAATGAAATACAGAATAAAAGCAAAACAGGAAAGCGCAGTAGTGAAAGGCATCCAGTTCCAACAATTTAAGGTGTTTAAAATTACAAGGTATGAGTAAGAAGTGAATGATTTGTCATAAAAAAATGTCTTCTACTACGCCACTACTGACTACACCTCCAATTACGTTTCCTTCCACAAACCAATCCAAGTTTCTTTTGTTCCATTATTATTTTCACTTGCTGGATCACACCACACCTCTTCAATCATCCATCAACAAATCCCCACATTCCCACTGTTTTAAGATACATATATTCATTTCAACTATCACCCTAATCTTTAACACACAAAAATGCACCTGCTTTACCAACAATGCTTTTTACCACTCACCTCACCCTCACTTCAAGGTTAGTATAGTATCCAAGAGTTCGGAATGCAAACATTTTGTTTTCACTGTAAAACATCTTACCAACAAAGTTCATAATGATTAATGTATTCACATAGAACCAATCACACACAATACTCTAATTTTTCTTTTCCATCATCTCAAACACTCACTAACTCAAATTCCCAAGCTCATTATCGACTAACCTTTTGCCATATAAACATCAACTATATTCACAGATATTAACATTTCAATATAATACTTAAAATTTTACAGCAATCTTAAACATAAATAAACTAATTCTCAAGGTCCCACAATGTCTTGTCTTATCTTATATAAATCAATGGAGAGAAATAAGAGAATTTTTACAAAAGCTTTCTCAGTCATCCAATGAATATAAAAACCCTTAAGGATACTAGTTCTCTTGTATCTCGAAATCAAGTTGCAATAAGATGCCTTCTTGGGACCTTCAAAATGTCCTCATACAACCTAGCAGATAGGGGCTACTACCCCTATGAAATCAAACAGGCAAGTTCAGGATAAAAAAAAAAAAAAAAAATTGGAAGTTTATTATCCCCATACTTTGAGAGAGAGGCATGGAATAGACAACAAAGTAACACAAGGAATTCGATCTAAGAAAGACATGAATGGCATAGCTGAGTATTTTGTGGAACTAATAATCCTTTCCATTGCATAACTGATCATGACACATAGATACAAAAGATCCAAAGTTGAACAAGGGGGAATCTGACCTGATCGGTGGCTCTATTTCAATTATTTGGGAGAAAGAGGGAGAGTTCATATGTTGTTCGCTATTGAAGCTTATTTTAGATGGACATATAAAGATGATCATATAAGACAATCAGTCCTATGGTGAGGTAAGCCAGATTGACTGATAAAGCTTGACAACTATAAGTAAACTCTGCACAATTGACTATAATTTACTGAGATCTATAAACAAGAAACATATAAAGACAAGAGAAACCTCATTGTGAGGGCTAATGAAGAATCACTTTCATGTTATAAATCAACTTGAACGACGAACTTCAACACCCTGCCTTGTACTTCTGCTACTGCTTAAGGGAACAGAAGTCTGACCTGAGAGCTGCAAGTCAGAAAGAGGACCAGGCCCGGTCTGAGAGAAAATCAGACCAACCGAACTACTGGAGGTACTTCCAGAAGAAGGGATTCTGCTCAATAAAGAATCCTTCTTGGATCCTGAAATCAGTTCAGGCCGCAGATCAGAAGAGGATGGAGGGGCCAGAGTAGACAGCAAAGACCCAACTGGGTAGGGAGCAACAGGCATTTCAATGAGAGAAGATGCAGATGGACTATATCTCATTGTGCCCACTGGATGATCAAATTTGCACGTGGAGCCAAACTTGCAGTATCCATTCTGCACGTAGAAAGTACAAGGCTGCACCCCCTGTTTTCCAAAGAATAATCATATAAAAGCATTCTGAAGGGATGTATACTGATTACCACACAACGGATCTCAACATCATAAAATTTTCATAAGTACCAAGCAATACATAAGTGGTTCAAAATATTAATATTGCTCAGAACAGTGGAAAACATATAGAAAATGAATAATTTGGATGAGATATCATCATTCTGTTACATCAGTATTCTAAAACAAAGCATATTGATTACAAAGACACGGCATCTCAACATCACAGTGCATTTATGCCGAGGTTCATTCCTTATAAACCTCTTAAGCCATCCCTAATGCCCTGCACAAGTCATGCCAAATTACCCATATGCTCTCTACAATAAGGCTACAAGAAAGTAACAAATTAAAAGGCATTTCAAGAAGAGAATAATTTTACACCAAACATGCTCCTTCCATCTATTTGTTAGTGAAGTTATTAAAATGGAAGAAATGTGAATCAAATATTGAATACCACTGAATTAAATTAGATCCTGGGTAGGAAAAACAAACTGATGCTTTCAACAGTTGAATAGACACATGGATGCAACATACTTGGGTAATTTCTAGATGGCAATTCCATATCATAGAACATTTCAATTACATACCAGAATTTCAGAATAGCAACTATGATTTGCTTTAAAATACAAACTTTATTTACTAACCAAATGTACCCTATATTAATTTCAAAAAAGAAAATATATATCATAATAACAAACAAGATTCATTAAAGAATCCTAGAATAATAGCTAAATGATGAACAAAATTTATTGATATATTGTTGGGTAAGATAAGTTTCCATTAGACCTCACTGATCCATAGTAATGTTTCCACCACATCAATCCAGCTGCTACTTGACCTCAAACAATGCGTGAATAGAAGAAAGAAAGAGAAAATTAAAATATGAAGCAAACAGAATCTCATTCAGTTTGACCAATAGCCAGAAATTAACCCAATTTCATTAAACATGATCAAAACAGAAAAAGAAAAGACAATTTAAAAAGAGAGAAACATAAGTAAGAGAGTTTTGTACTTCTAATTTTTGTTAAACACTCCTGGCCAAGTTTAATCAGGTCAACCACCACAATCAAACTTCTTTTATTAGTTACAGGAAGAAAAATGAAAAAGAGGGTAAAATTCATGACCTCAAGTTGAAAAAGAACAGGAATTTAAGGGTACTTGCTAAAAGTGGATATTAGAATCAGCCAGATCTTTTGAACCAAAAAATAGAAGATTGACCAAAAATAATTGTTGGTTTATTCCCAACACCAACGAATCTATCTTTAAAAAAACAGATCCATTTTCAGGATTTTTTAATACACTCTTTTCTAAGTAATACACAAAAAGAATGTTTTTGAAAATATGACGAAATTAGCAACACTCAAATCGATTTATTTTACCTCCTCCTGATTATGTTATTACTCTTATCATGGTAGCTTCAGTCTAAATTAAGCTCCTTTAAGCAAACTTTAATTTGGCTCCTGTACTTTGACACAGGTAAACATGCCCACAGATGCAGATTGTAGTTCAGTGATGTGTTGCTTATAGACAATAAAATCTCTACTTACAAATTGGTGGCCATATTTATGTCTCTCTAACATGCATATTTTAAAAGTGAACTTTAATGTAATGTGCAGACCTAGCCTACAATATAGGAAACAACAGAAATTTTCAAAATCAGTAACAGTTACATGAAAAATAGAAGTACTTTAAAATCATGGATTGAAAGTCTACATTGTAGAACATGGCACACAAAATCTGGAAATCAGAAACAATAATTTCAAATAAAAACAAAAGTATCTTACAATCATGAATTGAAAGTATGAAAATAGGCCAGACAAAAAGAAAAGCACTTATTAACGCTTCAAGGTTTGATCCAAGAAAGTTGCACAAAATTCTGTCCTGCAACCTTAGCTATCAAACAACTCCAACCTTACTAAAATCCTAAAAGTTTAACTCCGTCCTTTAAAAAAAAAGGAAACATAATGAGGGAGAAAAGGAGGAAACGACAACTGTAAGATGTACAACATAAATCTGATGAATTTTCTAAGATGGTTGCAAAATAAGTGCATAAAATAAAACTTGAAATATGAAGCCAACCTAACAAAACACAAAATCCTCATGTTTAATCTTCTATATCAACCTTAGGAGACAGAATAACATATAAAGGGAATCCTCTCTACACTTAGGTCATTTTAAAACCCACAAACACAGAGAATACTGATCAACAACATTTAGCATAGAGCGCGGTAGAAGAAGATCAGTAAATTCATACCGGACGCAAAGGGAGACCAAGCGGGCTAAGGGCACAGTTTGATCTTGGTGCAATCCTATCCCGAGGATGATGATACCTACAAGATGATCCAAATTTACAGTCCCCAGTTTTCAAGAAGTACTGGCATTCAGGTTCACCAGGTCTCTCTGGAAAAGATTGTTCCTTCTGGCCACTACTTGAAAGACCACTAGAGGAAGGCAAGGAGGAATAAGGTCCAGCAAGTGCAGGCATTGAAGAAGATAGCTGTGTTACTCCATATAGAGAAGTTGCTCCAACTGCAGGTTGGGCACCAGGAGATAGCACAGGGCTTACAGGTGCCTACGTACACCAATGAGAGCATAAGAAGTACTGTATTTTGGGGAAATATCTCAAAATAAAACTGATCATATCATACCGAGTAAGGACTCCAACCAGAAAAAGGAACAACTCCAGGGGAAAACAGCACAGGACCATAAGCCCCCTGCACATAAGAACCAGCTAAAAGCGGAGGTCTCGCTACCCTCAAGCTGGTGGATGCCCCACTGTACTGTTCAGGCATAGGAACTGAAGGAGACTGCACCGGAGGATAAAACTGAGGTGCAGATGCCGGCGTTGATGTGCCAGCTGGTTGAGGATGATGGAATTTACATGTTATACCAAACTTGCACTGCCCCGTTTTCAAATAGTAGGAGCATTCTTTTTCACCCTGTTAAAACTAATCAATGTAAGAAGTGAAATCTATCAAGAATGCATACCATCAATACATATAAATTCCAAGAGATAAGAAAAAAAGGAAAAAAAGAAAAGCAACTGATAATTCAGACCGGTCGTAGTGGGTATCCATATGTATTCATTGGAACATGACTCATGGAACCACCTGAATGTTTGGGATGGTGGAATTTGCAGGATGCACCAAATTTACAGGTACCGGTTTTCATGTAAAACTGTTCATCAAGAAAGAAAAATACCTTTAAAGGTAAACAAAAGTTTTTAATAGTACAACAAAAAAAGAGAATACCGGCATATTGTCCAAAACACTGCCTTCCATTAAAAATTTACCTGACACAGTGGTTCCCCTGGTCGTTCTGGGTATTCCCCAGTAGCCCTAACTGCAGCCTCAACCTAAGCAACATTAAAACCAGATAAAAACCAGTGAAACCCAATACTCATATGAACTTACAAAATTATTGTTCAACCATAAAATAGAAGTAATGAAACAAAATTCATATCTGAATCAGAAAACTATCACACTATGGCACAGGCTAATGCAGAGCTTTCATTTCGTTGTAGCCTAAACAAAACTACTCAAGTTCAACATAGTCTAGGCAAGTCTCGTCTTTTCCTCACCTTTCTGATATACCAAACATTTATTTAGATAATACACGCTTAAGTACACTAAGAAATCGTCAGAGTTCGCCACATCAAAACCTAACATACTTTTCACTACACAGTAATTACCTGTCAGTTAAACTCAAAAACTACACGCCATAACAAATACCCACACCACATAAACAGATTCTATTGCAATATACTGGCAATGATGAAGCAAGCCTCGAGCCAATTATATTTACCGCGGCACGATTTCGAGGGTGATTGTAACGGCACCTGTTACCATAGCCACAGACTCCAGTTCGCATGTAGTACACACAGTCGGGCACTCCGGGTCGCTCTGGATAGGATTCTGTGATCTTCAGGTCCAATTGCCACATCGATTCTAAATTTACCATAAACAAAAAACCCTAATTCATGATCACATTACATAAAGCCCTAGAACTTTTTTCTTTTTTACAAGAATAAAAAATAAAAAAGCATATTCTAAAACGACAAATGAAATGCAAGTGAAATTAAGTGAAATGAAATGTAGATAGACGGACCTTCAAGGCCGGTTGTAGGGTTCCATTTGGGCTGGTGACTGGACTGGGACCCATTCCTCGCCGTGTTGTTGCGACCGTACAACTCCATGGAATTATACTGAGCGTTAGAGAACGGGGAGGGTTCTGTATGTACAGCAGCTAAACCGAAATTAACAAACAACGGCGTTGTACAGAAGAGATTCTGGAATGTTGAAGAAAGATCGGCAAAGTTCGATCAAGAGTTTGGAGTTGGTTTTGTTGAAGAAGAAGAGAGATTGGAGATGCTTTCACTGTAAACGGAGCACTCTCTCACTCTCCATTGATACCGTACGGTTTGGTTTTGTTGCTTTTTAGCTTTGTTTTTGGTTGATTTTTTTTTTTTTTTTTGTGCTGTTTATATCCGTACCCGCCAAATAAAGAACCTGGAAAGGGTAATTTTCGCGGAATAGTTTAAAATCAGGTTTTGGACTTTAAACAGGTAACCGACACTGACCGTGGTCAAATTTACCGAAATATCCTCCGTACTATTCCCTGAAACTCGGTTGGTCGTGAATAGTGTTTAAATGCGAGAAAAGTGAGGTTTGTGATATTTGAGGAGGATAAAATCGTAAATTAAAGATATTGTACGACATATTTAATTAAGCGTGTGTTTATTGGAAATGGTGGTGAGTAGTCACGAGGGAGTGGTTTTTATTAGAGTATTTAAAAACATATTAGGCTTTCTTATTTTGGTCGCTGCACAACATGTTTTCATGTGCTTTGCCCCTCCATATGTGACCTACAATTTAATGTAATACCAACTACCCCCTTATATAAATCACCAATTTCCCATATCATATTAATTAATTAATAATTAAGTTTTAATGTAGATGTACTTGACGAATCAGGGACCAAAAGGTTATAGAGTTATGGTTTAGCTGACGCCAAAGGTGTGACTGTGATTTGTGAAGTGATACTTCACTTTACCAATGTGGAACCCGATTTGACGTATTGTTGTGGGAACGGAGTTTTGTTTGTATCCTAAAAATTAAGTCATGCTCTCATGGAAAGTGAAATATTCTTGGCCGCCAACCCTATTCATCCAATCATCATTTTTTTTTTTTTAAATTTCGAAAACAATTTCCTCTATCAACTCAAATGAAATTGATGATAATATTTAATCATTCAATTGGTTCCTATATTTATTGATAGCTCCATATGTATGCTTTAGTGAATTATTAAAGACGATTATGAGTATGGATTATACATTATATTATAAAAAATTATAATAAAATCACAAATTGTGTGTTTTGGTTACGAAAAATGTTAGGTTCATAATCTAATCTCATAACCTTCTCTTACAACCCTTAACGTGTCAATTTGTAATTGGTTAGTTTACAAATAGATCTCATCAACTTACTATAAGTTCCACGTGCATGACCAATTGCAAGCTCTAAGTCTAAAGTTGTAAGAAAAAATTTTTAGATTGGATTGTTTGGTTACATATGGAATTAACTGAATCTATATGCAAATCAAACTCCCAAAATAAGAAAGATTTGGTAAGGCATTCATTGCGATTGCATCATCCTAGAGACAACAATATCTAAAAAATCATAGATGTGCCTATATTTATAGTTTATGTAAATAGGAAAAGACATATACCTAAAGTTTGGCGAGGTTTCATTAAAGCTTTTATTTAAGTTGATTTCCATTATGTATGTAAGAGAACTAATCTTAACCTTTTTTTTTTTTTTTTAATTCTGATTATTACATACAACTTTTCTGATTTTGACTCTTATATGCTATTATATATGTGTGTTTGCTTTTTTTAAAGAGGACAAACTTCATCACCCCAAGCAAGTCTAGTTGGTGAAAGTTCCAGTCAAGTATCAAACATTACACAACAGTCAATGGTAATAGGTTAATATTATATTTGTGCTTCAAATTCTTATTAAATGGTTTCTTTTAAAATTTTATGACTCTAAAACATGGTTTATGATTGTTACAGGGAGTGAAGCTATCAGTCCACAAATTTAAGTCATATGGGAGTTGCAACAATCTGATGGATATAGAAATGTAGAGGGTTTTATGGTAAATGTAGTGCAATAGTTTTTGGATGAATTGGGGACAGCAAAAATATATAAATCTGCAGATATGATACAATTCGACTGTGCAGATAGATAGAAATGGTTTAGGTAGTTTTTGTAAAATGTTGTTAGTGTTGCAGAGGGCTTTTTTGATGAAATATGCATTATTAATGGCTGACTTAAAATATTTTTATGGAGTACTTAATTATGGAGTATTACTTTTTAATATGATGCTATTATTGGTTATACCATATGAGTTTCCAAGTGCTGCAATCTTTTTATGATAATGATATTTGGAAAATTTAGACAATATGTGTTCGCATGTGTCCAGGATGTGTTTACGGAGGTTGGGTGTGTCCAGGATGTGTTTGTGGAGGTTGTTCCAAGATGTGTTTGTAGAGATTTAGGCTCACAAAATATGTCCAAGCATGGAGGAGAAGAAGTCCAAGCATGACAATATGTAATGTTGAAATTTATGAAAAATTACCGTTATATAGTACCTTTATAACATTCAATTAAAAAAATCTTCAAATAATAAAACGAACTTTCAAAAATATAGGGGCATTATTGTATTTCCACTTAATCTTCCATGTTCACAGTTGTATAATGTGTACACGAATTAGATAATCTATATAAACAAATCAGTATTAAGTTTGAAGTTCCCTCAAAAGGGTTCCAACATAATAAAATCAAAATAATCCATGATAAAGAATTCTAAAACTTTTACATATTGTTTGGACATGCTGAGTTAATATATATAGTTATTGCCACTTGAAAAAAACAACAACAAAGAGTACAGTAAGCAAAATTCATAGAAAAAAAGCACTACAATTGCTTAAACGAGATGTTTGTACCTTGTGAAGTGCAAAGCTTGATGCTCCAACTTCAATAGTAAGGTCACTAGAGACATCAGAAATCGGCCTGCAAGATATACAGTAGAGTAGTTGAAGATGTATTTCTTCACATAGAGACAAGAAAACTTTATGAACGAAACAATAAATAAACACAACGCAGGGATACATTTTTGTAAGTGCCAATAATTAGAAACCATGTAGGGGCTTCTGCTAAAGGCCTGCAATCATGTTTGACTCCATGATCTCTAGACAAAGAATTTGTCAAGAGATTATCTTTTATATACAGTTAACATCTAAAACCTATGGTCACTAATCCTTCTTGATTCCTGTTTCGACATATGGCCCACACTTTAAAAATGACAGCTCATATTAAACCATGCTTGACTAGACTTCCAGCAATAGTCAGGGAATAAGGTAATATTTGTTGACGATAAAAATTGAAAGAGAAACAATCCAGAACTAGTTGTGCCTGGGAAGCGGAAACAATATGGCCATTTTAATGAACTGCATAGAAAATATCAGAACCACACTGGGTCCCTTTACAGTACTAGATAGTGTGAATATTGTTGCCTATGTATATCAAGTCAAATGTAATGAAATGACATCTAAATCTTCCGTGCGCATTTGAGGGCCTGTCGATAGTAAAAGCATGCAAGTTAACAGTGCAGGATTGTAATATATTAACCCAGCAGCCTCGTGATACTGTCATTTGGTAGGAGAGCTTTCAAGGTCAAGATCACAGGTTGATCTCTATCAGATTCCTTGCATAAAGTGTACACTGTATGTTTCTTTCTCGTATTACCATACGAAAATTATCTACCAATGTTACAATATATTTAAATCAAGCGTCAAAAGTAAAAACCACTGGCTGATGACCCTGCTGCAATGAAATATAAATCCTATTCATTTTTTAGAATTGCTTTAGGATTGTGTAAATTCAGAATTGAAATCAAAGTCATTAGTACATTTTCTCTTGAAAAGAACCTCTACGTAATTGATGGCTAAATTGTAGAAGTAACTTCTACAAAATGATCACAAGAGGAAATAGCGAAATTTCAATTCACTTCAAAGTTTTGAAAGCCGAAATGTCAATTTCACTTCAAAGTTTTAGAAAGCAAAAGAGTATGTATAGCGGTTTTAGTACTGGCAAATACTGCCAGTGATTACAAGAGACTTATCAACCAAACAACGCTGCAAGATTTCATACTAATAGTCTACGCTAGACACACGTACCCGCTTTCACAATCAAGTTAAAGAGATATGAAAATGCAGAAAATGAGAATACCTACCACCTGTTTAATGCAATGAAAAGTAAGTAGAAACTGTAGTATACAGATTAGTAGACATCAATGGCAGTATGCCAATTCATGGTTATATTAACAATAGCAAAAGTAGTAATAGACATGCTAAGAAAGAAACTATTTACCATTCAGTGGCATGCTTATCGGAGCTTGGACGAAAAGATCTCTTCCCTGATATACTTGGCTTCAATTCACCAACAGTGAACACCCCATCTCCTCTCAAAAATCTGGCAGTTCAGCCTTAGTTTTCAGTCTGAAACTTGTGTCTTCCACACCAAACCCACTAACAAGTGTCTCTCTGCAAGAATCTAACTGTTTTAACAACCATCTCTTGTCAGTTACGAAGCAGAAGCGAGTTTATTATCTTGTGGTGACAGGTTGTTTAAGGACGCCTTTTGCCTTTGTTTTTTTCCCTATAGCTATGTAGAAAGAGAAAGGTGGAGTGAGGTGAAAGTCACATGAACCCATGCAGAGGATTAAGGAGTAGGAGTGAGTTTGAAATAACCTTTAATGAGTGTTTATAATTTGCCTAATCTAAAGTCAAGAATGTTGCAGGTGTGCTTACACTTTTCGGTGAAAGGTAGTGAGAATGGCCTTTTTACATAGTTTTGTTTTGAAAAATTGCAGGAATTCTGAAGGGTTGCAATGCTTTTAGGGTTTGTAATCATGCCTAGTGAAAGCTACCCACATAGAGATTAGTATAAATTAACACTATATATGTGTAAGCCCACTAAAGTGGAAACTAAGAGATGAGTTGGATGACATGTTATAATGAGAACCACAGTGAAACAACTAACCTACTTTATGTGGGGGCAAATGTAGCTTTTATGTCAGCTAAGAGGCATCTTGTGTAACAATAACAATAATCTCTGGCTTTAGGGGCTGCACATTCTGTGCCAAATACAGAATGTCAAAAAGGCAATTCCTCCAGCCAAACAACTATAAATACTGTATACTCTCATAATGACTAATTTTTGGCACAGCCAGAAACAAAGGCTTGATATTGATAATTGAGATTAGTTCATATTACATCGCCCACATATACCTACGCATTTATTCCTTTTATCATCCCAATAAAATAAATAAATGTGATCCTAAAGAGGTACTGTAGGATTAATCATGACAAAGATTGCACGATAGGTGGT